TTATATTATTTTATCTTCCAGTACGGTAAAATTATCAGATTTTCGAAAACGTGTTAAAAGCCGGTTTGGCGTCCAACCCCAGGCCTTGGCGCCTGGAACCAGGATTGGCGCCTGGCGCTAGCCACTGTTCCTGGCGCCAATGAGCCAAGGCTGGCGCTAAGTTGTTTATGTGATCTTCAGACTCTGTTTTGATAAATTATCTTTTTTTGCCTGATTTTCTCTATAAATATCGTATCAAAAACTCCGTTTTGGAGGACGGATTGTCATCTATCATTCACCACTTCTTTTATTCTTAAGTTTTAATAAAATTCGTTTTTGTTCATCTACAATCTTCAATCGTCAACAAATTAGTTTATGAATCATTAATCTTTCATTCTTTCTTTCTAAACTTTATTCTTTAACACAAAATTTCGCATTCACAAGATCTTGATACACCTAGCCATATTTGAAGTTGCCTTCGCCCTAGACGTGAAAGGTTTTAATTTCTGAGGGTTTGGTCCCAAATCTCTCTCTCTATTATTTAATTTATTTGCTTTGTTTATTATTTTCCTTGAAGTTACTAACGTGTGTATTTTTTAATTAGAAAGAGGTACGAGGCATCCAAGTAAGTACTTTAATGGTTTAATTGATTTTATGATGTAGACATCATGTTTATATTATTTTTATGATATTCCTAGTATCATGTCTAGAGTATTTTTAATATTAAATATGATTGTTATGATGCTTCCTATGTTCTTTCTAATATTTATGATTATGATTGATGATGATTATTTATTATGTTGCTTGATATTCATATTATTGTATATTGTTATTGCTTGATCACCTTTTATTGCAGGTTAAAGGGAATTGGTATTTGCAATCACGCTTAATAAGATAATTAATAATCTTGTTAGGGTTAATTGTGATTATAATTCAAGTGATCGCCAATAATAGATTTATTTTTGTATTAAATTCAACCAACATAGATTAAACAGGTTTAGAGTTAATCCTATTGATTGCATGTTAGTCAGAAAGCGCACATGAATACGATCAAAATAAAGTAGAGGCCTATTATTAGGGCAGGTTCAATCTCTTTTAGGTTGGATTTGTACCATCATCCCCGAACCCTTATTTGGTTCATGAACTTATGGAGTTGACGATCTCTTGGATCGTTAAGGGGTGTAACCTTCACCTCGTGAACGGTTTACAAGTTCCTTAAAAACTTGTTGGCGACTCTTTTTGCTCTATCTTCTTCCCTTTTGGACGCCACCGTACTTTAGTGTATGATCACAGTGGGGTTCAAGCTAGTTGGATTTTAAAAGCTTGAAAATATTCCCTACACAAGGACATATATCAAAATAATGTATATGAAAGAAAAAAATGATAAATACATATACAAAATAAACATACCGACTCAATCGTCTCAAGAACGTACGGTATGTCCTCATCCTCCGTTGCTGGGAGAATCTCATGAATTACCGACCCAAAAGCATTGGTATACGTGATCTCCGCCGTATGAGGTACCCAACCGCCTAGCTCGACTCGCTGAAATTACAATGAAAGAGTCAAAGTTCCGAAAAAAAAACAGACACTAAAAATACTAACCGGAACAAAGGAGTCAACCTGGATGCAATGAATGTCAGGTAAGATGCATCCCATAGCACCATCTGCTCCGCTGGATAATCAAGGATCGCTTGAGATTGATCCTCGGTAGATAGCAGGTCTGTATGTAGCATCCGGACCGGAGGGTTTGCAGGAACCAAAGGCTCCTCATACGAAGCTTGCCAGAGAAAACGCTCACCTAAAAACCAAGCGTTTGTTCTTTGGAGCACCGAAAGTCCCTGATAAAGGGCCCGGAAATGGAAACGAACCATGCCAGACCGGTCAGCCTTAGGGACTCCGACAATCAAACTCCAAGAACGGAGACTGATCTACACAACCACATGAAAAATAATAAAAAAATAATAATAACAATAAGTATATACATGTGTTGTTAAGATACTCACCGACGCACTTGTCGCCGAAAGAATCCTCTGGCGAAAGTCGCCGACTAAAGTCGCTCGCTTCTTCTTGATCGTGACCAGACGATAGCCGATAGGAAAGCAAGCTGTCCCGAGCATACAGGGGGCTAAGAAAGGCAGGTACGAGTGCCCCCAAGCCTAAAAGAAAGAAAATGAGATCAAAAGGCAAAAATGGTGATTAAAAAGATAACAAAAGATGAACACGCACCTCGAGGATACGACCATGCCACGAAATGGAGATCTGAGGCACCTCAATAGCCGCCGTGGAATCCATCATCCATGTCGCCTTGCCCAATGCTATATGCATATAGGCATACGACACCTCCTCCCAACTCAGGTTGCCTACTTTCCCCAAATCAGTGAGGCAAATGAGTAACCCAATAGCGAAACGCTCTCCGCGATTACTCAAGATGGTGACGGAAAGAACGTGAGCAATGTATATCCGAGCTAGCTTCTCAGGTGTACGTTGCCGATCAACCTCATCAGCCGACAACTCGTCGCCAAGAACCTATTACGGACAAGACAGCGCATACAAGTGGAGGGGTGCTACAAGGCGGTCCCCCACAAGGTCACACAGTCTCTCGTCTTACCTCTTAACGACTTTCATAACTACAGGCTCACCTCCAAAAGGAAAACCCGTAATCATAGAGAAATTGTAAGGGGTAATCGTCATCTCTCCCCATGGAAAATGGAAAGTGTTGGTGGAATCCCACCAAAACTCCAGCAACCCACGAAGGAAAGTTGACGACGCAAGCTGACTCGACAAATCCGGAAGCTGGGGGCTAATCCCCGAAAGCTCCACGTCTGGTAAACTCTCAAAATGGCCCTTCAAGTCATCCGATCCGTACAAACGAATGCTAGGCTCGCTGTAAAATAAACATATGAAAAATAATATGGTTACGGCTTATTTTAAGGAAAAAAGGAGAGAGAAGCAAAAAATGGAAACGCGAAAAAACTCACTATGCCACGCCAACTCCTAATCGACACGTGATGGTCTAGGTCCCACTTAAGGACCCGAGTGTCCCAGTTGGGAGGAGCCTCCCAGACCACATCCTCCTGGCGACGTCGATCAGAAGTGGCGTGTCGCTCCCGAACCTCCTCGCGAGGATGTGTCACCCTCTTTTGAGGGTAAACTGCCTCGTCAGGAACAGGAACTCCCAAGTCCTCCTTAGCATCGACAAACGGAGGGGTATCCATGCTATAAACGGAAAAAGTTCCCTATTAGGTTATTTCCTAAAAACTGGAACTAAGCTAAATGAACATGTTCAAGACCCATTTCGGCAGCATAACGGCTACCAAAAGGACATAATACAAAAATCGAATGCCACCCATGCTTGGGGGCTACGATACCTGCAGTTAAACTCGGTAAACAGGGGCTTTTAACACCCACAAAAGCCATCCTATACCAGTTTCAAGTAAAGCATTCAAGAGATTATATTCCTAAATCTCAAATAATAAACTATTTTTAGGCGAATAATAATAACACAAACATAATTATCGTCTACCAAACAATTTTTAGGTCGTACGGGCTTGATCTTTTTCCCACATGGGTATCTAATGATACCCTGCGTTGGCGCTCATGAAGCTTAGGAGGGTGTGATCAGCGGTCGAATCCACCAACCTATTAATCTTAGGCAAAGGATGATCATCCTTCGGGCAGGCTTTGTTCAAATCCGTAAAGTCTACACACATACTCCAGGAACCATTCGTCTTTCTAATAAGCACAACATTGGATAATCACTCTGTGCATTGGCATTTTCGAATGAAACCAGCTTTGAGAAGCTTTTTAACTTCACCAGTTGCTGCTTTGTTTCTCTTCGGCCCAGCATGTCGGAGTTTCCGCTTGATGAGCTTATAACCCTCCCTGATATTTAGCTCGTGTGCCATGACTTCAGGGTCTATGCTCGACATTTCATTTGATGTAAAAGTGAAGATGTCTTTGAACTCGCTAAGTATTTGAATGATTTTTTCTTTGAGCTAGGGGTCTAAGTTCTTTCCCACTCTCATAATTCGAGCGGGGTCATCCCCCAAAGGTATGTTCTTATCCTCTTTAATAGGCTTAGGCCTACCATATTGCTTGGGATTATCAGCCATGTAGATATTCATTATGGAAAGTTGGGGTTCATCTACATCCATTGCCTTTCGCTTGGTCCCCTTATCTTCCTGATTGACCGAGGCCTCGGATTCCTTCAAGCTATCTACATAGCATTTTCTTCCTTCAAACTGATCTCCATATATCTTCCCAAGGGAGCCATCATCAGTCTCGAATTGAAGGAGTAAGTGGTAGGTTGAGATTGCGGCTTTGGCCTTGTTGAGCAAGGGCCGACCAATGATCATGTTGTATGGCAGAGGGGTGTCCACAACTAAGAATATGAATACCAAGCTTCCCCCCTTCTTCTTCTCCCCCAGGCAGATGGGAACCTTGATAATTCCTTAGGGGTAAACATGTTGTCCGCCAAAGCCGACTAATGGCTTGTCTAGGGGTGTGAGGTCTCCTCTGCCAAAACGCATCTTTTCTAGACATTTCCAAGTAATTATGTCAGCTAAACTCCCACTATCCACCAAGATCTTTTTGACCTTAGCATTGGCCACCTTCATGTGGATCACTAGAGGGTCATCATGGGGCCTTTGAATTTTCTTTGCATCATCATCACCGAAGACCATGAGGGGGTCCTTCGGGGTGGATGAAGGAGTGCCAATATCGTAGATAGGTTCTTCGAGCGAACGCAAATGACCTTTGAGTGCCCTGTTAGACAAACTCCCGGAAACATATCCTCCGGCTATGACATTGATGCTCATGTTGGTGTCAACTGAGCTATGGGCATCTTGCACAACCTTGGAAGCCTTTCTTCTTTGCTTGTATTTTGAGGGGGACTTCAGATATCGGTTAAGATTTCCTTTCTCTACTAGCTTATCAAGAACTCTCTTGAGTTCCCGACAGTTTCGGGTGGTGTGACCGCACTTCCGATGGTTTTCACACCAGAGCTTCTTGTTCCTTTGTTATATCATTGTGTTAATTGGATTCAGCTTTAGGAGGATAGCCTTGTTCTTTATGTCCAAATAGATCTCACGCCTATCAGCATTGTATTTGAGTCCTTCATCATCACTCTCAGCCTTCCTCGGTCTTCTGTTCTTGTTCTCATGATAGTTGTCCTCGTGCTTTCTTTTCCCCTTGTTCTTAGCCACGGGTGCCTTGCACACCTCACTTGCTTCAATGATTCTTTCAGCTCTTTCTATGGCTTCGGAGAAGGTACTGACTTTATTATGCACAAGCTCAAACTTCAGCTTGTTAGACTTGAGCCCGAAGAGAAGGGCTGTGAAAGCAACGTTATCTTGGAGGTCGGGGATAATATGAGACTCAGTGTTGAACCTCTTAATATAGTCTTTAAGGCTTTCATTCTCTCCTTGCTTCACTATCATCAAGTGAATGCTAGGCTTTGTTTGCCTACTCCCAGCGATGAAGTGCTTTTTGAATTGGTTGGCTAGCATGTCAAATGTTCTAATGCTTCCTGGGGTAAGGTTGTTGAACCACGTCTGGGCTATGCCTTTGAGAGTGGAAGGGAAGAATTTACACTAAGAGGCTTCACACCCCGTTTGGACTCCCATCTGTGCTTTGTAAGCGTTCAGATGGTCCGTTGGGTTTATCTTTCCATCATATGGATCCAACGTGGGGATTTTGACCTAAGGGGGAATGGGTGTGTTCATTATCTCCTAGATGAAGGGGGTGATGTTCTTGATCCATGCCGAGAATGAACTCTAGTATGACCTCTTTGGGGAGGATCATTTTCTTCCTTTGAGTTCTCCCGCCTGGAGTTGATTATCTAACGGGCATCTAGAGTTCCTTCCCTCAGCCTTCGGTCATTGATTATCTCTCTAGCATCTCTTGGTTGGCTTGGTTGCCTTGACTCTCGCTGAGGGTTGGGAGATTGATGTGGAGGAGAGCGACGGGACTCCTAGCGCTGAGACAAGGAGGAAGCTTGATGGATATAAGATAAGTGAGGCTGAAGGTTAAGCTGTGGAGCGTTCCCCAACCTACTTCCCCCCCCCCCCGCCCGGGTTTACAAGTGCCCTTAGGCTTTCCTCAAGGTTTTTGTTGATCTGGGCTGCCAGCTGATCCAAATCTCGGCGGGTGACTACATGAGGGTTGTTCACCTCTCCAGCAGGGGTCCCTGCGAGATTGGGGTACTATCTCCTCGATTACATGAGCATGCCTAGCCGAGAGAATCGGAGCTTGTCTAGTAGCATCTTGATATGTGTTGTGGGGACACCTAGTGTTCACCATGACTTTTGTTAGTTATTCCCACAGACGACATCACCTGTTTCTGAAAACATAATACTCCTCGGAGTGTTAGGGTAATAATATCAAGATATCCCAAAGACTAAGTCCAGTGATTGTCCAAATGTCCTTCGGCTCCGCTTAGCAAGGGTATATCCGAGAGCTCCGCTTACACGTCCGAGGGCTCGGCCTGCAAAACAGAGAAGGTTAGCTGCCCCAGGGGTGTGACCCGAGAAAGCCCCTCTGATGCTAAAGTCTGCTAATGTACTTTCTAGAGAGAGAAAGTAGAGAGAAAAGGAGTAAAAGTCCTCATCATGAATGATTGGAGAGCTATTTATAGTTGTACTTTCAGGTGACATGAGTTGTACTTAATTGTACAGATTGAGAGTAAATATGTACTTTGCAACCATTAATGATGGGCTGGATCACGTAGGATATTTTCGTAATTTCAGGGCATTGGGCTTAGGCCAGTGGACTTAGCCCAAACAAAAGAGTTTGATAGAAGTCCCAATATATGTGTTTTTTCCCTTGCTAGCTGGGTTAAACCCCACCCCCCAATGGCGTAATCAAGATAAATGTGGACGCCCATCTTGGTACCAACAGCAGAGTCAGCCTAGGAATGGTTGCAAGGGACATTGAGGGGATAATTTTGCTTGCGGCGACTCGAAGATACGTGGGTGAATGCCCAGTAGAGCACGCTGAAGCTGCAGCAGTACGGTTTGGTATGCAGATTGCTAGATGATTTGGCTACGAGAAGCTGCGGTTTGAGTGTGATGCGATCAATGTAGCTCGAAGAGTTGCGAACAACATAGTGGGTGCTGCTCATTTATGTTTGATATATGATGATATTTGTCAATTAGCTCAAAGTTTTAATTTCTTTAAGTTTTCTCATGTAACGCGTGTATGGAATACCGTAGCCCATTTAATCCCATTTAATCAATAGATTGGATACTCAGGGTAATGCGGAACTTGTTTGTATGGATGTTTTCTCCCAATTGGTGATTTAATATAATGCCCCTAAAATCTTCCATGACACTTGTCATTACTTGTAAACAAATTTCCCGCCATTTTTACACTTTTTTTTTTTCAAAATCTATAAGTAAACTATTTATACATTATAACTTGACAATCATGTTCCATATATCTCTATACTTTATATTTTGTAATATTATTGTCACAATTATTTAACCTAGTATACTTTAATGTATATTCTTAAAATAATATTAAAAAAAAATGAAATATATATCTTTTAAGTATAGTATATATTTTCTTAAAATAAAATAAGAAAATTTACTATGTAAGACGTTTAACATAATTCATGTTTACTACGGAGTACCATTATATAAACGCATATAATTTACTATACATAGTATTTGTGTTTAACATTTATATTAGCAATGATATTCGAGAGTGAGGAATAATTCAAGTGGTTAGACCTTTCTTTCCGATTCAACAAGCTGAGAGGACATTTGGGTGACTCCATGGAGAAACAACATAAGAGGTTCAATGGGGTCTCGAATTCTATACCAGTCTCCTCATCAAATCTTTATCCTTAAAGCATTATCATGTGTATCGAGCCTTATGAATTTATGATCATCATACTCATGTATATAGTCAACATGTACCTCTTAGGCTCTTAGTATTTCGATGCTATATATATGCCCAAAACCATGGCACTGTCAGCATCGTTGTTTTTGTTGGATGTTGAAGAGCCAGAAACCAATATTCTTTAGCGTTCTAACGTTCTTGCTCGCAGATGCACCCCCACAAATTCACATCAACCTAATAGAAGATCTACACATATACTCAAAAAATCACACGATCCATTGTGCTAGAGCTCAACCTTTCCAGTAAGATCTATGTTCAGCAATCACCACAAAAGTTCTTTTTTTTCTTCAGGCTTTTCATGGACATCATACTAATCAAATTCAGAGATGCAATCCTCAACTGACAAGCTAACTTGCATATAAAATGGGGGTTAAATAAAACTGATCTTGGAAATAGTCTCTTAGCAAAAGAGCCAAGTTTGAGCTTTCCATCCCTCCTGTCCTGCTCCCTTTAAACATAAAGCCAACTTTATGCATATCAGATTAGTTTTAGAAGCAATTTCATCCATTAATGCCCATGTAATTAGTTCTCTGGGCCAAAGCTGCCATCAAACTCTAGAATAACAAGCTTCCACCCTTTATTATCATCATGCAATCAACCTAAATAAAAAAAAGCAGAAAATAAGTCAATTTACTCTAATAATACAGTAAATAAAAACAACAAAAGGAACTAATGAACTAAGAACAAGGTTTGCTAGAGCTCGCTAAGATTCTTAATAGTAGTTCAATTCCTAAATCACCAAGGAAATAAAGAAGAGGTAGCTTGGCCTTATAATTAAGGCCAAAGAAGCTGTCAATATAATGGTTCTTTTACCTCACATTCTCATTAATCTAGAAATAGCATTTACATAAGCTAATTATATAGCTAACAACACATACAAAAATGAATCATGCCAGGACTAGAATTACTAATCCCTATCAATCAATTTTTATCCTAAAGTAACCTAGTAAAATTAAGCAACGCGCTTAAGTCCTTTTTCCCAGCCACAGATAAATGCAGAAATAAATAAACTATCCTAACAAAGTTTCTTAAAGCGCTTCCATTAACCAAACATAAAACTTAAAGTTTCAAAATAATTGAAAATTGTAGCAGTAATTCAGAACATCTAGCTCACTTGCACTGTTCCTGAATGTGTACCACAAGCTGGGACAAACAATTCATTCATGCAGCAATTATCAATTTCAAAAAAGAGGACTCAAGAACTAATAACATCAAAGTCAGCCAGATTTAAACTATTATACCCAATTTTCAACCTGACAGATTATGAGCTAAAACCAATTGATAACAACCAGATTTGAAACTACTAAAACCAATTTTAACCTGACATAGTACGAGCTTTAGCCAAGGTTTAGTAATCAAGTAGAGTAATCACATATAAATCTATAATATCAACATGATGTCATTTAAAGACCTATATATTCATGTATAACTCTGCCTGCAGAGGTTACAGTTTGAAAATATTCACTTCGATCTTTACTAGCTAATAAGTCTCCAACTTTATCCTCAACTCCACAAGTACCACAGCAAAGTATGAAATCTAAAGAATGATTCAAAAACCACATAATAGGGTTATTGTTGTTTAACAGACACACACCACTTTGCAAACTCAAAGCTTCAGCTGGCAAGATCGTGAATATTAAAATTCACTTCCAAACTAGCTGACAAGTTTCAACCACATCCCGACCTTGCTAAAACCTACAGTGAAACCATATAACGCTCATGGTACAGAAAATTCACATAGTGTGACCATTTTTTTAAAAAAGAACAGTCAAACAACACTTAAACTTATAGTTCACCTATCAGAGTATAATGAGTTGTCAAAGAAATTTCCTTCCCAAGTTAAGTCCATAATACTACAAGAGTATATAATTTTAAGTGTCACATCCAATGTTGCCAGTAATCTACCTTAAACTATGTTGAGAGAATAGTTAAATCTAGATAGTTTTCCTATATTACAAATAAAGAGTACATCACATGACAAGACATTTTCGCAAGATTTGGGGAGCAATGTAATAAATTCTGTGTCAATTAATCAACATTGTCACCTTTGGTCGGAATCCCAAAGCTTTGCTAGGTCTCATTCAGAAACATTATAAAAATCCAATTGGTAACGAGACTGAAGTCTTCTTGTATGACAGCAAATAAATCAATGAATAATGCTTAAATGAAACCTCTTAATACTTAATCAATTATAATGGCAATCATGAAATAGAACCAAATTGTCCTTACAACTAATTGTTAATTAAACCTTTAATTCTAAAATATTGGTGTCAAAGCATTGTTTGGATTACATAAATTATTATCGATTAATTTTTATGTTACTCGAACTCTTCATTTTACCTCAAGCACCCCTATCGATCCCTCAACACTCGGACATGGATATGGCAATTCATTTTAGTTAAAAAAAAATATATAATTTATTCACAAAATAGACGCGTCAAACACTTACACACGTACCCGTGTTGAACATGAGTACCCGAGTCTGATTAACATATATTAATTTTGTTACCAATAAGGAAGTTAGAGAAATTTGATAGGTCTGTGTATTATGGTTTATGGAAGCTTAACAAACGATTACGAAGACTTTGATTGGAGAAAAGAAAAATCCATGTCATAGTTTTCTTTATGTTTATCAGACACATTTCTCCATGAAATTGTTAAAAATTAAATTTTGGCAGGTAATGGCTAAATTTTGAGCAACTTTATAAGACTAGAAGGGTGACACTTCTGAAAAATCAGAGTCAAGGATTTTCAACTTAGGAAAGGCAATTCAATATCACTTTGATGGCTTTTTATCAAATGCTACGGATCTGCACAATATGGATGATGAAGATTTGGCTATTACTTTTGCATCCTACATGTTTGAAAGTTTCGATATTAGAGTTATATTAAAGATAAACAGTGTAGCTATTAGCTTTATTGGAGCAGGACCATTCAATTATACATACTAAAGGTGTACTCAAGTATGTGAATTTGCCCCTTTGATCTCGATCTAAGGAATAAATTAATTTCTTTTGGTATAAACAATGGTAGCATATTCTCTGTTAAAGTTGGCATTCTCGAGGTGATCAAAGTTTGCTTTTAAAACAATAAAAGCTTGGAAGATTTGAAGTATTTGTAAATTTACTAGGAAGTAATTGATTTGATCACCCAACTCGGTACTAAATTTCATTGATGGGTACAGTTTTGGGCAAGGAAAAACTTAGGGGGCACAGGAAGCAAGGGAATCTTTCCAATTCTGTGATCTTGATTTTTATGGCATTGGATCTGTTGTGGCTGAATTTTCATTAAAAAAAAATAATAAAAAATAAAATAAAATAAAAACAACCCGTCGTATCAAACTATTAACATTTCAATTTTCATGTGATTTATTTTCAATCCCAGGGTATTCAGGTCAAGCGTCAAACATGGATGAGTAAGCATACATGAAACCTTTCAGATCTTAAGACTACAGCCTTCACAGGAGGCAGAAAAAGAATTTAGGAAAAATGTGGAAGCCTGAGAACTAACATTTCTCTTGCAATAATTTTTAATGATTTTCTTACACCATTCAGAATAATTAGAGAAAAATTTTACAAGCACCAGCTCCTCATCTTTCCGTACAGCAGTATCATCAAATATCTCTACAAATGGGCTTCTCTATTACAGTTCAGTTGTCTACCAAAGGTGATATGAGACAATAAACAAACTCATATGCACCATATAGCTTCTTCCATGCTTCTTATAAGTTTTTCTCAGAATATATTGTTGTTTTAATGATATGATTATTTTTCACTCAAGGTGATGCACTAATTCATACTTTTAGATTAATAAACTCTAATAGATTATGAAATATGGGAACAGTAGGGTTTCTCAAAAAAGTTACAGGAAAAAATACCCAAAAGTTTGAAACTATAATTATGAATTCACCCGTAAAGCCAATAGATAATGACAGCCAAATGAATTATGGTTGCATGGCAAGAAGAATCAGAAGAATAATCCCAAATTAGAAGGTTACAGATATAGCAGTGAACCCAGGTCCCAGCTCCAAACTTTATCCTGGAGTTCCCACATATTTGACAATTTTACAATGCCCTAACAACAAATTTGAGGATCGCATAAGAAACTGCACTATATGATAAACATACCTGACAGGGCTGACACTAAAGCGATCATTAGCTGGAGGTGCAAACAGAAATTAGATTAAGGCAATCCTTAGTGAACATCAGTACTCAATTCACATACTCTGGAATTTTTACCCAGAATAACCTCAGTACTGTTACCCTCCCAGATTATCTACACCAGTTTAACAAGCCTGTCTTCACCTTTCATTCATAGCATAGCTATAATTCACCAAGAGCTATCTTTCTATCACAAAAGACTATTTTGATTGAAGCAATATTGATGACATAGTAGATCATCTGATATAACTTGGTTCATAAATCATAATTACACAGAGGATCCTTTGAATCTTTGATGCTTCTTTGAGCTTTTGGCACCTCGACTTTTCCTTCCCCCTCCCCTCTCTAGTCTGACACAGGATGTATATGATGATTTTGATTCATTAGCAGGCCTCACAAATTTTATAGACCCAACTTCCCTATGATGACTACCTTCTTCTGGCCCTTGTAGCAATTTCTGGAGTGTCGGATCATCTACAAAGCCATTTGAAAGCATCTCAGTGTACAATTCCTTAGCCTTCATCAAACAGCCGCAATTTGCCAAACCATGCACAACAGACTGGTAGTGTCCTGATTCAGGATCTACTCCAAAGTGTCTCATTTCAACCCACAGCTTCAACACATTTCCAGGTTCTCTTAATTTAAAAAACCTATCAAAAATTAGTAGAAATGTACAATTGTCTGGACCAACTTTATCGTTTTTCATCTGACTCAGAATTTTAAAAGTGCTTTCCAAATCAGCACCTTTCAAGAATGCTTGATATGTCTCAATAGTTGGTTGGACTTGCTCTTGTGTCATAATGGACAGCAGATTTTTTGCCTCCTTGAATTTCCCAGCTTCACATAGAGGACAAATCAAGCAATTGTATGACTTAGAATCTGGTTTTAAACCCATCTCTTTGATTTTCTCAAGAATTTTAAGAGCTTCACTCAAACAGTTTTCATGAGCCATAACATAAATCAGTGAATTATAGACATCAAGGCCAGGGATCCATCCCCTTTTCTTCATCTCATCATAGAGTCTCAGAGAATCAAAAAGGTTTCCGACCTTCGAGAAGCAGGAAATCATGTGTGTGTAAGACATTGCATCAGGTGTAACACAGCAACTTGCCATCTCTCTCCAGACTCTCTTTGCTTCAACAACATCAACAATAATATTGCACCAACCATGAAGAATGATATTAAAGCCCTCAATCTCAAGAGGAAATAGCTTCTTATTTTTTAGCATGAATTCCTCAGCCTCTTCAATATTGCCATATCTGCATAGAGCACTAATGACAGTATATAATGCATTCTGATCTGGATGTAGTGTCAATTTCTCCATAAATTGAAATGTTTTAATGGCCTTCTCATGATTATTTGCTGCTGCATATCTGAAAAGGAGCTATTTAATGTGATATATCTCTATTGAGCTCAAGACTTAGTATAATTACAGAAGCAGGGAGATAAATTAGATATTGAAAGGTGGTGTAGGCAGGTACAACTAGACCAAGCACAGAGGCAACTAGGCAAGCACTATGGCAGACAGGCAGATACATCCATTAGTTTCAATTACTGAAGAGAAGTAGCATGATTTGTATCATGTAGGATTCTTTAAGTGTTCGCCTTCTTTTTCAAAGATATAACAGAATGACAGGTAGACTTCTTATAATTAAAAAAAAAAAAAAAAAAAAAAAAAAAAAGAAACAAAAAAAAAAAAGAAAAAGAAAAAAAGAAAAAAAAAAAGAAACCATCATATATTGAATTTTGTAGTTGCTAAAATCTAACACTAAACAATTAGATTTTTGTGTCATCTATAAAACTTGACATCATTTATCAAGTGGATCATTTCTCTTTGTTAATATCTTTATCACGCATCTATTAATCAAGTCTGGATATCATTAATTAAATATTGTTCCTATTAATTGAATTGAAAGTCAGCTTCCATCACTAACCCTGGACACTTTTGTGTGTCAACACACTGTGTAAGAACCACACCCACTTGCAAACCCATAAACATTCTGCAGAACTAACATTCAGAAGCACCTCAGTTTGATTTGGAAGGCATCAGCCAACTATTGATTTTACTTCAAACCAAATTGCACTAATTTGACCCACCAGAGCAGGCTACTTGCTACTAAACAAAAATTAACGCAATTTTCATATAGAAGCTGGTGAAAAAAGAGCATTGTATGAAAAACGCATAAATGATAAAGGAAAAAGTAAAACTTTGCGGCATCATTGGTCTTTTAGACCTCTAAGACTTATCAGTCACAATCTCTAACACTTTGTTTGGACAGATGGAAATGGAAAGAAAAGAAGGGAAGAGAAAGGGAGGGAGACAAACACTCTTGTTTGGGTAAAGGATTGGGGGAAGGAAGGGAAAGGACAGGGAGGGATCCATTTTCGCTCTCTCTTTAATAAGCATAATCCCTCCAAATTTGGAGAGATTTGGAGGGAAAATGGAACTCACCTCCCCCTCCCTTTCTTTTCCCTTCCCTTCCTCCTTTTTCCCTCCCCTTCCTTTCCTTTCTTCTTTGTTATCCAAACAAAGCGTTATATACAGCTTTTGACAGGCAATTACGAGTTCAAACCATTCAATCTTAAAGTAGTCTTTGCAATCAAGAATCAACTCGGTCATATGACAAGATAACTCATGTCATTGTACTTATGACCAAAATCTTAGATAAGTATATGCTTACATATCATATGTAAGCATATACTTATTTAAGATAACATATCAAGCTATCAACGCTTATATTAACATTAACAAATAAACCAGAATGTAACAATTTGCACAGCATAATAAGTTCTGCTATCATAAAAAAGAAGCATTCGCCTATTGCTGAACATAAACATAAACATAAACATAAACATAAACAATTAAACATAATCACAAACATATTGGCACTAAACATAAACCTGTATTCTCAAAAACTAGCTACTAGCAAAGAACTATGAGTTAAACTCACCTCTCTATGATAGCAAGCATTGCTTGTCGAGAATCCGCCGACCCGTGCAAATCACGAATCAAAGACCAAGCAACATCAAACTTCTGATGAGTACCCAATACCCAAACTATCAAACCTAATGATTTCTCATTTTCAAAACTCCATTTTAAATTCAATTCAAATGCCAATAAAGCCAACTTCCAATCATTCCTCAATTCCCAGATAGCTAAATAAACCTTGTTGGCATCAGGATTAATACTAGAACCAGCTACAAAATCAATAGCTTCCTTCCTAGAAGTAAAATCCTTGGTTTTCTGCACTAATTCTACTAATTCAACAACACCCGGTTCATCTTTCTGATTGTTTTCGGTTACAATTGCATTGAAATCAATAGGGTTATAAAAAGATTGTATAAAATATGGTTGTAATGTTGAGGAATGCAGCGAATGTTTTCTGTGTAAGGGAGTATGAAAGTGCATTGAAAGTGTTCGACGGAATGTCTGAGAGAAGATGTTGAAATACCCATTTGAAGAAGAGGGAATCTGGGGGCGAACAATAAGTGTTGATAGCAAAGAACGAAACTGAATTTGATGGGAAATCAGCTGCCTTTTAGCTAATACAAAGAATGCCATGATTTAAGGATCAACCTAACAAAGCTTGTATAAAAGTATATGAGTTCAAAGTGTAAAGGGGAATGATGGACCGCTACCCGGTATAGGCTACCGAATACCAAGTGACGTCAATTTTTTTTTTTAATATATTTTTTTAGGGTAAATAACAGTATTTAATGACTTAATAACAGTATTTAATAAATTAATAACAGTATTTAATGACTTAAAAATTAATAACTGTACCTTAATTTAAAATAACAGTTCTTAATAATACACTGATTTTTACTAGGATTCGATCTGATAATTACTTAAATGACTTTTGATGGTACTAGTTATCAGAACTCTACTACTTATACATCAATATAAATTATTTTAACAGTTTAAAAGCCCATCATGCTTCGCAATAATAGTTATTTAACTAAAGAATTTTGATCAATACTTGAACTTAGTCGACAATGGAACCTCCAGCGTTCTGAGCTTCCGGCTTTACCAAGGTAGCTAACCCCAACCCTGTCTTCCTTAGATCAGGCTCAGCACAAATCTAATTTGTTTCCTACCTTAAACCGTAATCTCTAATTAGACAATCCTTACTGTGTTTATGATGAAACTTTTTAAACAGAAAGATAACTCATTTGATGTATAAGTTCAAGGGGATAACGTTCCCTTCTTGAACAGAACTATTATTTAATTTGAAAAGATTACAACACTCATATATTACAACAAACACACAAACTGAAAGCTTAAATAGACATAAGCTGAACTAGAGTTTTTTTCTACTTTAAGAGAGATGGAGAGCCAATTTGTCTCTTAAGGTGTGTATTTTTCTCTAGAGGATTCTCTAATGCATTCAGAGCAATTCTCTAGCTAACTCTTCCAACTCTGTCTTCACTTCTTTGCCTAATGCCCTTTATACAGGGGAAGGCTTACAAAGGTCACCGACACTTTCTATGGCTTACAGAAAACCATGACTCAGCAAGTGAATATCGTTCACTGCTTTTCTAAAGATTCTTTAAAACAAATAAAACGTGCTACAATAGTAAAAGTAGAATACATAATTGCTGGTGTGGGCTCAAGACTCCATCATATCTTGTAGACTACCTTTGTTGTCCTTACTCTATTCATAATGGACATACATTGGGTCGTCTTCTTCTATACCTAGATCCATCACACATTTAGCAGCATAGGATTCATCCCATGTGACAAAGATCTCCAATAAGTGCTCTTTTCCCTCTAAGGGTAAATATCTCCCAGCTTCAACTTGTTCGAGATAATCATACACTGATTCACCATGTAATACTCCTTCTTCTAAATAATTTCTTAACCATTCTGGTGCTACTATAGTAGTATTTCCCACATGTATTATGACCGGTGGTTCTTCTTTTAAGGCTATGAAATGGTTAAGATACTGAGCAATATAGAAAAATCCATAAGCTCTTGCTACTGTAGGATCTTTTATTCGTCTCTGGTGGATACAGATTGGATCTTTGAGTTTGCGATGAACGTCTTCAAACATGATCAGTGTAACACCCTAGAAATTCCTTTCCTTCAAAATACCTATCTTACTCTTTAAATACGATTTAGGAATATCTAAGACATTACCGCCACCGTGAAAACGGTTAAGGCAATTATCAAAGACACACAGCGGAAGACTATCTTTAAAAACAGTCAAAACCAGTCAACTTAAAAAGTCAACTAAGCAAAATTAAAGTAAAGTCAAACCCAAGGCAAACGAAGTAAAATAAAATCAGCCTACAACTTGGAACCATTGTAGGCCCTTATTAAAACCAATTATGAAAAACCTTTGCGTTAATCTCATGAATATCCATAATATAAAATAATCAAAACATTAAACACATCATAAACTAATAGAACTAGCATGATTCGCTCTTCACTCATGCCCATCATGAATATGCTTCATCACCTGAAACACTCCTCTCTACTTGTCCCCACTACTCGCTATTAGAAATGGGTCGTCGTAGGGCCAAAGTAAAGACAAAGCCAACAACACACACAAACACACACAATCAGCAAAGCTGAGTACATAAGCGTATTTAAACACACTAACATGATTTCAACTATCAACACACACTTACCTCAATGCACCTGTTTTACAAGCACACACAACATTCAACAAAACCTTTCAACTAGACACAAAATAATTTATTTAGCATTGATTACGCATCGAACGGGTTTCCAACTCTACCTCCCCCAAATAATTTAGGTTACTGACACGGGAGCTAACCGTGCCAGCATCAAAACCACACATAGGTGGCGGAATTCCTACGCATAATAATATTAAAAGGAATGTACAGCGTCCTGTACTCCAGTAGAAGTTATGATCAAATATAAAGTCACATAACTCTCCCCCCCCCCATATGTTCATACTCAAGGTATATACGTTCCAAGAGTTTTGGTGCGTAATCTCTTTCACTTTACGTTATTTACATATTATTAAACTTGGTGATGACTCTCAAACCATAATTATTCAATCAATGATAAACAATCAAACATACCAATTTAATTCTTGAATAATTAGTGACCAAATAATATTTAATGTTGAACCCTTTTTAAATCTACCTCAGTCTCAAAGACACCTTAAACGCATAAAGCGCCACAAATCCTATCCCTCGGTGTTTGAAACACCTTAAGTGCACGAAGGCACCAACACACAATTTATTCCTCGTGTACATAGACACTTATATAGCTCCTTTCTCATGCCTATAGCATCAATAAAAATTATATGAACCATAATAAAATTCATTTTCAATATTCCAAGCCAAATTAAACATGTAGTTTAATTAAATATGCATTCTAACATGCCATAAATAAAAGTGTAGTCCATATAATCATGCCAAAATATAATTTTCCAATCCATAAACATTCACAAATAAATCATGCTTCACAATTCAATCACCAACATCAATAATCCACAATTCCAAACATAAATCTAATGATGCACGGGTACGCCGAAGGGTGGCCGTTTCCCGTACCGGCCATTAAAACATTTCAATTTATGGAGAAATTGACACTACATCCAGATCAGAATGCATTATATACTGTCATTAGTGCTCTATGCAGATATGGCAATATTGAAGAGGCTGAGGAATTCATGCTAAAAAATAAGAAGCTATTTCCTCTTGAGATTGAGGGCTTTAATATCATTCTTCATGGTTGGTGCAATATTATTGTTGATGTTGTTGAAGCAAAGAGAGTCTGGAGAGAGATGGCAAGTTGCTGTGTTACACCTGATGCAATGTCTTACACACACATGATTTCCTGCTTCTCGAAGGTCGGAAACCTTTTTGATTATCTGAGACTCTATGATGAGATGAAGAAAAGGGGATGGATCCCTGGCCTTGATGTCTATAATTCACTGATTTATGTTATGGCTCATGAAAACTGTTTGAGTGAAGCTATTTTGAGGACGGCTGGGAGGAGCTCTGGAAACGTTTCGGAGACGGATCTTCTTCCATTTTGATGTCCCCAATACAAGCCCAACCCATTTTTCAGAAAAAACCCCCAAATTTTCTTACGTCCGGTTAATTTTTCAAAACCCTAGAAATTGATATGCCAAGATTTCTTGGATTCCTTGCCGGCGACCACCTGTTGCGACCCACGAGTCCATGATTCCTTGCCGGCAACCACCTGCGATCCACTCAGACACCGGCGACCACCTGCAATCCACTCAGACACCGGAGAACACCTGCGATTCTTTCCACTTCTATTTCTACAGACTAAAGTTTTTTCATTTTAATGGTTAATGTGATTATTTGAATAATATTTTTTTACTTTCAATTTACTGATTACTGGACAGTAGCCTCAGTCAGGGCCCTCGACAAGTCAGTAGGTTTGTCATTTTTTTTGAAACCTGTTTGTCGTTTAATTTGTGCTTTGTTTTATTTTATTTTTTTCTTTTCTTTTTTTTTCGTTTCAAGTGGTTATAATTATATGTTAAAAAAAATGGTTAAAATAATATTATATAATTATCATGTGACTATGTGATTAAAACATTAATTTTTTTTGAAACTTTATATGTATTTATATTTTGCTAAATTAATTTTTGTCGTATCCATGCCGTACCCGTTTTTTGAAAATTTGAGTTTGCCGTATTCCGTCCCTGTATCCGTACCCGTTTTTGTCCCCGTATCCGTTTTCGTGCAACCTAGCATAAACCTTAGCATGATACTACTTGTAATTGATTTAATTCAAGCCTATCATGATACTACACCACCAAAATATGCTAAGTACGCGAACATACCTCAAATAAGCTCTTAAAATAATCGGGTACTCTACAACAATTCCCGAATTAAGTCTCCTACATAAAGGGACAATAATACTAAATTAATTACCCTTGTATACACAATTTTCAGCAACTTAAACTCACTTTAAATAACTTATAATAATCTGAAAATTATTTAAAAACCCCTAATTAAACTCCTTTTTAATGGGTAATCACACCCTTTTATTAAAATCACAATTATACTACTTTAAATAAAATTCCAGCATTTTGAACTAATAAAAAACCCTTTAAAACTTCATCAAAATACATCTTTATACTTAAATTATCCATAGAAACATTAAATTATCTCTTACCCTTTAAACTCAAGGATAAAATTTAAAGCATAAAAAAAAATCGTTAAAAATCAAAAACTGCCCGAAAATCATATTTAGATTCTGAATTTGGCCACGAGAGGGTGGTACTCACTACCAAAGGTAGGAAGTGAGTCTTTCTTAAAACATTGTTTCCACATGGAAGACACTACTTTTTTTTTTTTTTTATCAAAATCGGATGAGTTCAGAACCTAATCAGGATTAAAACGGGATTAATATTAACAAATGGAAATCTAAAAATTAAAACACGAATTTACGTGTTCAAAATAATCTGGAATTATGTTAAACTAATTAATATTTATAATCATCAAAATTTCAAATCATCATTACTATAAAATCCCTAAATCAATTGTTCATAAAAACCCTAAAATCATGATTTTCAATAATTAAAAACCCTAGGTTATAAAATTTACAAAATATGAAAATTATGACACTTATAAAATCTGAAATTATAAAGTTTAATCATCAAAATACAATTTGATACTAATTAAATTAGTTTCAAACAATAAAATCAAAACCCATAAATCAATAATTATAATTACACAAATTAATAAAACAAATGAGAAATAAAATAAGACTAACCTTTTTGTGTGAGAAATTTTTGGGGATTCATGGGGTATTTATAGAGTAGAGAGTGTAGGGTTAAATTTGGGCTTATAACAATGTGGGCTTAAGTTATGGGTTTTGGAATGGGTTATTCCAATAAAAGTATGTAGGAATAATTTACATTGCCCAATAATTAATAAACGTTTGGCCCAAAATATATTTTACTTTTATAAAACCTTATATTTAAAATACTTTAACCCTTTAAAATATTTAATTAAAATACTTGAGCCCTTAACAATACATTTTTTAATACTTAAATACTTTATAAAAATACATAAAATACGGGGTATTATAGTCTACCCCCCTTAAAAGAAGTTTCGTCCTCGAAACTTAGGTACGGAAACTTTAAAAACTCGTTTAAAGGCAAATAAATACTTAAAATCTCAAAAACTTTTCTTAATACTTTTAGTTGTTGTACTTTTGTGATACTTCCTTTCTACCTCATCTATTGATTCACACACAAGCTAGTGTGTAAAGTAACCAACTAACTTACTGACCAACTTACACAAAATAATGTGTAACATAACAACTTTACTAACAAACTTACACAAAATAATGTGTAAACTATTAGACTATCTAACAAACTCACACTAGCATTAGTGTAAGAATCAACTTTGGTAATAAACTTACACATCTTAGTGTATAAAATAATCAGACTTATCAACTAAATCAGTGTAAAACTGACGAAAAAACACTTTAAAATGTCAAAATTAAGGAAAAAGCGTGTAATTCTATCGCACTCTACCCCCCTTAAAGAAACGCCCCCGTAACTCCACTTAACTCAACTTTAGAATTATGTTGATCTTTTCTCATTCCATCCTTGGTAAGGTTATAACACTTCTCTGTATGCATTCCTTGTTGCAAACCAAAATCTTATTAATTCTTTACTCATTATACCAAAAATAATCAATTTCCATCTATACTATCTTTCACCCATCCTCTAGTAAAAGTATAAAGCACTTTGATATTCAAAACTTTGATTTGTCTAGCTTTTTCATGATCAAATTGGCTGAACTCAATGGATCCCTTTGCAACTCATACCTTTAGTTAATGTTCTTTCACAATGACTTATGAAAATTGTCTTATATTTTACCAAGGTCCGATAATATGCCAAGTTATTTGCCACTTTACCAATTCTATGCAAATTCATATATATTTCTATATACTTTGGCTCAAATTTTCTTTCTTACCAAAATTCATCTTTTGTCTTATGGGTTACACTTTCAATAACACTTGTGCCTTGTCCGTTGTTTAACTTGCACTACTCAAATCAAATCCATTCATGTAGACTTTTCTTGCTCCGGTCACTAATGTTCCCCGAAATAGTGAACTTTCATGGTTCTTTTATTCCAACCTCAAAATGTTGCCATACCAATGCTGGCTTGTATGGTGACTTTGTTACATCCTTTCTGAAATTGAATACACATTTTTTTTCTGCATAAATTCTCTGTCAAATATTATTTCGTTATTATACCAATGGGTGGATGTTGTTGGTAATACCCCGTATTTTCTATTAATTAATTAAGAATTATTTTATAAAAAGGGTATTTTAGTAAATTCAATATTTGGGGCCAAAATAATATTTGAATTTTGACGCCAAATATAAGTATTTAATCATTTGAATAATTAATTATTTTCGGATTTCTAATTGATAATATAGGTTTAATTATGTTTTTTAAGGTCGGTTCATATTTTATTATACTAACTATTTCAAGAGAAATATCTAATATTCATAATGTAATTTTATATTATCTAACATATTTATTTATTCAATTGTTTTATTATTATTTTCATTTTTATATTAAAATAAATAAATAAAAATAAATAAATAATTGTGAAACGTGATTTGATCATGTTTTGAAGAGTGATTGTTATCACTTTAGTTTGTTAATTATTATATTTTAAATTAACCTCTAATTTTCTTCTTCATTATCTCATTTTGTTTATATCTTTCTTCTCCCAACCATATGTATATCCATTTAAATTTATCTTTTAACCCAACTATTAATCTAGACTTAATTTGATTCAAGTACCTTAACAACCCCAAAAACTTATCACATTTTCTAGTAATCATATAACACCTAAAACTCTATCCTTTCTACACCCTCAATACTATAAATAGACCCTTAATTCTTCCCACTTATTCACACCAATTCTATACTTTTCTTCTCCTCCTTTTAAACAAATCATCCCATTTATCTTTGAAACTAATTTTCGGGCACTTCTGCTCAGTTTTTGGGGTATTAACGTTTCACAGAAGATTGTTCCTCTCAAACAATTATTGAGGTTAGGCTCAAGAATCACCCAATTAGGAGTTATATCGAAGGAGTTACAGCCTCTGAAAGTTTTGCCTATTCTTTCCAACGCAAATCCAATTCTTCTCTTTTCCTTGGTTTCTTATCTTTTCTTATTCTCTTCTCTTATTCAATTATTATTATTATTATTATTATTATTATTATTATTATTATTATTATTATTATTATTATGGGGGATTTATAAATAATTATTATGAGTAGTTTTAATTATATAAAATCATATTTTAATAATGTTTATGTTGAAAGGTTCATGAACATATAGTTGGGAGGTTTTAATTTAATTATTTGTGATTATTTATTAACCTTATATTTATTAAGGCTATAATTATTTGTAGAGTGTGTTCAATCAAGGTTCTTGAGGTTCTTTTTGTGTGGTTTTTCTAGCAAGGATCAAGGTACGTTTAGGTGGCTAGATACCTTTGAAAGTAATTTGTTTGAGTAACATGTTTTACATGATTTGATTAGTGATTGAATTAAATTGATTTTGAAATAAATTATGTTTGAAGGTATTTATTTTAATAAAAGTATTTGAATGATTGATTTTTAAATCATGTTTTGAATGGTTTGGATTACTTATCGTGTTTAAATAATATTGGGAACTATTGGATATTAAAAGGATTTATTGAACCAATGAATTATTATTATTGTTAATGCTTTATAAGCATGTTAGTAATCCCACTATGCGGATTTGGTTTATTGATAAGGCCTTGGACTTTGTATGACCGGGTCTTTCCTCAAGAATAGCCTTGTAATATAAGGAGATTAGCTTGGGGGGTGTGCACACTTGGGTGAGGAATTGGATTAAAAGGAATTGGTTCTTAATAAAGGAATTGGTTTTATTAACTATTGTTTTGAATATTGAATCATTGGAATCGGTTTTGGAATAACGAGTTTTGAATTTATTGGATTAATTATTGGAATTGGTTTTAAAAGCATGTTTGCAAAT